TTTGCTTACCTTTTATTTCTGTGTCAACAGACCTTGTTTACCTCGTAATCCTTACCCTACACCGGCGCATCACCATCAACATCCTCCACAACACGTAGACTCGATAGAATTCTTTCAAAGATTGTCCACAGAGACGTTATTCTTTATTTTCTATTACCAAGAGGTGAGTTAGTACCTGGATTTCAGTTATAACGATTTAATAACTTCTCTCGTATGGTTGTTGCTTTCGGCAAAATTTCACAATAATTATGATATGGCAAGCCTGCCAGCCCCTCCCCCCTCCCCTGCTTTTCCCTTTCTACCTCCCTGCTTCCATCCCCGTGCCCCCTCGCTCTCTCCTCTGTTTTACGTCTACACAAGCTAGGTAGGGGTTTACTCTGAAATCAGTTTTGGTCTGCTTTCTTTGAGACAACCCCCCCGTTTTGTGAAAAGTCCGTAGGTTGATCAATGTCTCAATTCCCCTTTTATGAAATGATGTTTAGTGGAAAACGTAGCGACCAAGGGATTTTATTTATCAAGTTGTCTTGATTTACTGCTAGATGATCACAACTCACATTATAAAGAATGTATGGCAGCCGGTGTAAGTAGATCTGTTATAAATGTTTCAGGGAACAAGAGCGCAGTACTTAGCAGCAAAGGCTTTGAAAAAGCAATCCTGGAGATTCCACACCAAGTACATGATGTGGTTTCAAAGACACGAGGAACCGAAGGCTATCACGGACGAATACGAACAAGTAAGTGTGGTCATGAAGGGTGACGTGCGAGCCCTAACTTGCCATGATTGTAAATTTTGCCCCCTCCTAGTCTCCCCTCATGGTTCTACCCGTGGTGGATTTTTTTTTTTTGCTCAAACAAGCTTCTTGCACGACAAGAGGAAACGTAATGTTCGACACTAAGGTCCCGTCCTCATTACTCTGGAAGAATTTGAAAAGCAGCTTTATTTTTACAGTTAGGCCTACCGTCCACACCAATTCCTCATGAAAACGGAGCTCATCAAACCGAAGGAATTTGGAAACGCTGGCTTTGCATTTTAGTGTGGACGGAAAACGTTTTGAAAATGAAGCTATTCGAAAACGATGACATCGCGACAATCAGGTGATTTCCCTACCAGAGGTTTCCTCAAACCCAACTCCAAAATGACCGGTGATTCTTGCGTGTTCAAATTCTCCGGCATAGCGTGGACGGAAAACATTTGATGCGTTTTCAGAGTGAAAACACCGTTTTCAAATTTCTCCGGCGTAGTGTGGACAGGGCCTTACTTCTCTCTCTCTCTCTTTTTTTTTTCAGGGCACCTACATCTATTTCGACTATGAAAAATGGGGTCAAAGGAAAAAGGAAGGCTTCACTTTTGAGTATAGATACTTGGAAGACAAGGAACTCCCTTAAAAGAACTTAGGAACGGTCAATAACCAGGCATGGTCTAAATCGCGGGGCACTGACAAAGCTCACGGAATAGCACGAGCAAAAGAACCATGAATAGCACGTGGCACGTGAGCCTCGTGCTATAGCGGCACGTGAAGAAGACAGGAAAGAGAACATTGACACGCTTGACTCGTGCAGATTTTTTTACCGGCTGTGTCCACGTTGGGTTAGTTTGAAGAGAATGACGCAGCTGATCTTGACGGCTTCGTCTGACCTCGTCTGTTTTATGAACACTGGCTTGTTTATAATTGTAAATATGAATGCTAGCTCTAACAATTCCGTTCATTAAAAAATTGAAGCATACACCACGGCTGTTGTTGATTTGTGGCAAGTGTGACTGCACAAAACCTGTCAAGCAGAAGTTCCCTTGCCAGGTCTGGTTATTAAAAGGACGCAGGGTCATTTGCGTCGCGGGTTTTGCTAGGTCACTGCCTTCTCTTTTCCCCCTCTGTGAAATAAGGTTTACATATACCCCCGAGGGGGGC